CCAAAATAAACATTGACCCATGCTTTCATCAAGGTAACAGTGGAGCAGGGTAGTCAGATTACAGGTTCATTGAGCACAGCAAAGAAAACACTCAACAGAGTAACAGGGAGAAAAAAATTGCAAACCATATTTCTGATAAAGACCTTATCTGCATAACATAGGAGGAACTTCTACAACTCAATAACAACAACAACAAAAAATCTAATAACCCGATTTAAAAATGGGCTAAAGACTTGCAAGACATTTCTCCAAAAAAGACTACCAATGGCCAACTGTATATAGAAAATTCTCCACATCACTAATCATCAGAAAATGCAAATCAGGGCGCCTGGGTGGCTCAGATGGTTGGGCGTCTGCCTTTGGCTCAGGTCATGACCCCAGGGTCCTGGGATCGAGTCCCGCATTGGGCTCTCTGCTCCTTGGGAGCCTGCTTCTCCCTCTGCCTCTCTCTCTCTGTCTCTCATGAATAAATAAATAAAATCTTTAAAAAAAAAAATGCAAATCAGAGGTGTCTGGGTGGCTTAGTTGGTTGAGCACCCGCCTCTCAATTTTGGCTCAGGTCATGATCTTGGGGTCATGAGATTGAGCCCCACATCAGGCTGTGCACTGGGCAAAGCCTGCTTGAGATTTTCTCCCTCTGCCCCTCCCCACCTGCTCTCTCTCTCTCTTTCTCTCTAAATAAATAAATAAATAAAATTTAAAAATAAAAAATAATAAAAGAAAATGCAAATCAAAACCACAGTGAGATAATCCCCTCACACTGGTCTGGATGGCTATCATCAATAAAGCGAAAGACCACAGTGTTGGCAAGGACGTGGAGAAATTGGAACCCTTGTGCGCTGTTGGTGGGAATGTAAACTGGTGCAGCCACTGTAGAAAGCAGCAGCATGGAGGTTCCTCAAAACATTAAAAATAGAACTGCCATAAAATCCAGTAATCCCACTTCTGGGCATTTATCTAAAAGAACTGAAGTCAGGATCTCAAAGAGATATTAGCACTCCCATGTTCACTGCAGCACTATTCACAATAGCCAGTATGTGGACATAAGCTAAATGTCCTTCAGCAGATGAATGGATAAAGAAAATGTGGTGTATACATAAGGCTATCGAGCCTTAAAAAAGAAGTCTGCAATGTGTGACAATGTGGATGAACCTCAGGAACATTATGCTAAGAGAAATAAGCCAGTTACACAAGAACAAATGCTGCATGATTCCACTTATATGAGATATCTGAAACAATCAAATTCATAGAATCAAAGAATAGATGGTGCTTGCCAGGGGCTAGAGGGAGGGGGAAATGAAGAGTTACTCATCAATAGGCACGAAGTTCCAGTTAAGCAAGATGAGTAAGTTCTAGAGCTCTTTGTACCTATAGTCAACAATACTATATTGTACACTTAAAATTTTGTTAAGAGGGTATCTTATGTTGTGTTCTTACCACAGTAATTTTATTACGTGTTGAAGATTTCCAAAGGGGGAGGTATTAGTGAGACTATATAATAGGCGAGTTTTACCAAGCTGAGGGCTTCATCCCTGAGGAAGTACCATTGTCAATGAAGACATAAAGATGAGTAAAAGTGAACCAGGCAAAGTAGAGGGGAAAGCACTAATGCCCTCATCCTCTGAGCTCCTGTCCCCTCCCATCACTGGGCTTGTGGGAAAGCCAGGCCCCAGAATCCCAGGGAAGGCCTCTAAGTGCCTCACAGGCTGCGAGCCAGCCAACCCTGCCCCCAGGCTTTCTCCTCCCTCCTGGCCTTTTGCACTCCCTCAAGAAACAGCCAAAAGCACAGAATGCAGGAAGGTTCTATCAGCAGCCAGCCAGACCCAAGGCTCACAAATGTAGCCCGTCTGCAGAGAAATGGGGGGCAGGGGGGAGGAGGGGGAGTCTGCTTTCCCTTTTTTTTTTCTTTTGGCCTAAGTTGATTCAGATACTTTCAATCAGCAAAGTACTTAATACACAGATAGCTTCTGCTGACCTCCTCCCTTGGGAATGCAATGTGGTTTTATCATGGGTAAGCAGATATGTCTATTTTGTGAGTTTGACGAACAGTGTTGAAGTGACCTCATGGCTGCCAAAATGCCTCTGCTTCAAGGTCCCAGTGACTGGATTTCTGCCAGAGGTGGAGGCAGGAATGGGGGCAGTGGAAGTGGAGAGCCTGCACTGTGACAGGTTTCAACCTTGGACAACATTCACTGTGTAGGCAGCTCCTTTATGAGACACACACATTGTGGTCACCAGCATTGAGCATGGTTGTTGGATTTTGTTTCACAGCCACACTTTAACATTTCACTTAAAAGTGGGGGGAGGGGAACACCCCTTTCTGAAGCATAACAAACATAGAGAAAAGTGCACAAATCCTACATTGTATGTCTTGATGATTTTTCACAAAGTGGATCCAGATCAAGATAACATCCCAGAATTCCTCCCCCAGCCCCCCTTTTCTAGTTACTGCCCACCAAGGGTAACCCCCAAGCCGATTTCTAACATCATAGATTAGTTTTGGGTTTTGAACTTTATATAAATGAGAGCACAGTGTGAATTTTTGCTTTTGTGGCTTTCTTTCCTCAATTTTATGTTAGTGAGATTCATCTGTGTTGCTTGTTATAGTTTATTCTCACTGTTCAGTGTTCTTGTATGACTATATCATAATTTTTTATCCACTCAACTATTGATGGACATTGGATTGTTCCCCATCTGGGCTATTATCAGTAGTGCTGCTTTTAATATTCTTATATATGTCTTTTGATGAACATATGCATGATTGGAGTGGGGGGGTATGCTGTATTAGTTGTCTATTGTTGCACAACAAATTTCCCCAAATCCTAGTAGCTCACAACAGAAATAAATGTTTTTTACCTCTCACCATTTAATGAGTGAGGAATCTGGGAACGCCTTGGAAAGGCAATTCTGCCTCAAGGTCTCTCATGAAGGTGCAATCATCTGAAGGCTAGACTGGGTCCAGCGGATTGGCTTGCAAGGTAGCTCAGTCACATGACTGGCAAGTTGGTGCCAACTGTTGGTGAACAGCTTCAGTTCCTTTGCATGTGGACTTTCCTGAAGACTGAGTGAGTGCGCTCATGACATGACAGCTGGCTTCCCCCAGAGTGAGCAAAGAAAGAGCCAAATGAAAATATATCCTTTTTATGATTTAGCCTTAGAGGTCACATACCCTCACTTCTGCCTCATCCTATTCATTACAAATGAGCCACTGAGTTCAGCCCAGACTCAAGGCTTCATCTTTAGAAGGGAGAGGTGGCAAAGAATGTGTGGATATATTTTAAAACACAACATTTTAAAGCTAGGAATTTACCCAAACTAGGGATCTAAAAATAAGTTTATAGAAATTCGCACAAGGATCGATCTAAAAGAAATATATATTCAATTCAGCCTCTCCTCTTCTATTGATTTAAAATTTTGTGAATGTTTATAGGACAGTTTTCCTGGAGACAGTGTGGTACAATAGAATAGACTAAGGCTTTGGAGCCAAACACACCCAAGTCTGAATCCTGAATTCGCAACTTACTAATTATGGGTTTTGGGCAAGTCAACCTCTTAGATTTTCAGATTTCCTCAATTATAAAATGAGGGAAATCAGTAGAGTCTATCTCATGTTGTTCTGGAGGTAATTAAATGGGTGTAAAGCACCCACTGTGCTGGTAGGTCCCTTCCATTTGCTCATTTATCAAGAAATTATTAACCATGTACATTAACTATCTAGAAGCAGGTACACATCCTTTGAACATGGACCAAACTGGGATACACAGAAATAAAGACATTTTGAAGGATGGGCAAGGAAAGGACAAAACGTATTCCAAATTCAGAGTAACAGCTTGAGTAAAGACAGAGCTGGAGAACCAGGGGGCGTGAGTTGAGAATAATGAAATTGTCTGCTACACATATGACTTAAACACAGGATAGATGAAAGGAGGCAGTGGAAATAGGGGTTTGTAAGGTAGTTACATATCAGAGTAGCAGAAAGACAATGAGAGTATGTACTCTGTTTTGCAGTCTGATTTCAAGGCTAGCTACAAAAGCTAGAAGGGCCTAGCCACTGAAGGATCTACTTGCCATGCTTTTCTTGGCTAACTTCTGTTTGTAGAATTTTTGTGCCTCATATTGTAAATAGAACTTTCCAAAACTGATGATTAAAGAACACTTCTTACTCCAAGCCCAAGCAACTCAGCTTTTTCTTTATCATTCCCATTTTGGAGGCTGCATCAACAGGGAAATGGAGTAGGATTGTTTTTATAGGCCTTCAGCTCACTGTAAATGTACTTCTTAAGACTTGGCCGTTCGGAATGGCCAATTATGCACTCAACTCCTCTGTGTGTATTTGACTTCTACTTCCAGATAATGAGCCATTCTCTCCATTTATTTCCCCTCAAGAAGACTGATCTATTTAGCAACCTTTACTTTTGTTACATTCTCCAGTCCCAAGCAGTGATGATATTTATACATAAGACAGAGACATTTCTATGCTATGTTGGAAATTTGAAGGAAGTTGGAGCCAATGACCTTTCACTTTGAAGCCAAAGAAAAACAAGCACAAATTCTTCAGTCTTGCTAAGAATGGGGACTAGACAGATTAGCAGAAAGGCTGTTCAATACCTAGTGCCCAAAGCCTTTCTGCACTCAAACCTGTGTTATCATCTAACATACCGGTAGCCTTATTTTGATGAAGTTTGTATATTTCATCCAAATAGACATGGTTGTGACCATTCTTGGTGATTTTGTGGGTAAAAATGGACATTCCATTTTATCACCCTCTTTGTTTATTCAAAATGAATTCTAGAGCATGTAGGAGAGGATGCATTCTAGGCTTGGGGTAGAATTCCTAGCCAATCTTGTGCTGGAAATTCCCACATTCCCAGGTATGTGTTTTTACTCTACTGGCAACACTTGATGTCATGATGTTCTCTACACAGGTACTAAGGATGTCCTCGTCCTCTCTGATTTCTTCCCAGGTGGGAAATTGGCAAGTGGAGTCCATGCAGTCTCACCTGTGGGGTTGGCCTGCAGACCAGAGATGTCTTCTGCTCCCACCTCCTTTCCAGAGAGATGAATGAAACCATAATCCTGGCCGATGAACTGTGCCGTCAGCCCAAGCCCAGCACGGTGCAAGCTTGTAACCGCTTCAACTGCCCCCCTGCCTGGTACCCTGCACAGTGGCAACCGGTGAGTTCTGGAGTTAGTCGATACTAGAGTTTGTGTATACAACTCTGATTCAGGGCAAGGGACACTCTCTCTTCAAGGAGTTTTGTCCCGTGAAAGGAATGTCCAAGGTCTGTTCCTCCCTCCCTTCTTAGTACTCTCTCAACCTTATTCAAATCCAGATATTTTCATTATAAATACTGTGCTCTGTCTATGGTTCCACACCAGTGTCCTCCCAAAGCAATTCAAGACCCATCTGTTAAACCGAGTATATCCACAACAAAGTTTTTACCAAACTAAGAAAACATTTTTTAAAAATAAGGACAATGTGGTTGGTTTTCCACGAAGCTAAATTTGCTCTGAATCTGTGCCCTTTCTAAAAGTTTTTTGCTGTTTTAAAATCCTAAGAGGCCAAGGTGCTAGGCAATGACTTTTCTTTTTTTTTTCTTTTAAATATAATTACTTACCAAAATAACAGATTAGAAGTCAAATCAGTTCCAGAATTTTAAAAATTTTCCTGGCCCTATGAATTCCAAAAGTCTAGGAACTATTGTTTTAAAGCAGGGGTTGACAAACTGCAGCCCAAAGCCAGATCCATCTCACAAGCAGTTATTATAAATGAAATTTTATTTGAACACAGCTATGCCCATTCTTTTATGTATTGTCCATGGCTGCTTTTGCCCTGGAGAGGCAGAACTACATGGTTATGACAGAGACCATTTAGCCTACAATACCTAAGATATTTACTCTGTCCTTTCACAGAAAAACTTCACTGACCCCCCTCAAGAGCATACATAATAATAATACAAACACAACTATTTTATCATAATATTCTATCTAAAATTAATATGTATTTATCAAACTTCAGTTAAGTAATTTTTTCCATGCCTTCAAAAAACAGAGAGAAATTTTAGATTATTTGGATAGAACCTTATTTTTCATTTCTTCTCCATGAGGCTATCAGAGGTACCTATAAATTGACAACAATGGTCACAAAAAGTAAGCCTGAAAGGTGAGAGGGACGTGCATCCCAGCTTATCCCAGTTTTACTAAAACAGTTTTTCATTCTCAAAATTATCCCAATTGGGGCACCTGGGTAGCTCAGTCATTTAGGTGTCCAACTCTTGGTTTCAGCTCAGGTCATGATCTCATGGGTCATGGGATTGAGCCCCCTGTCAAGCCCCACGTCAGGCTCCACACTCAGTGGAGAGTCTGTTTAAATATTCTCTCCCTCTGCCCCTGCCCCCATTCACTCTTGCTCTCTCTTTCTCTAAAAATAAATAAATCTTAAAAAAAAATTTTTTTTAAGTGTCCCAACTAAAATGATAAATTATATGGTTATCCAACTGAGGAGAGAGCACAGCAGCTTACACGCCCTTGCCTTAGTGCTGAGAGGGGGCTGCCGTTTCTAGACTGCCATGCCTCAAAGGATGCTTTTCCACTATCACTTCGCAGAGCCCCTTCCTTCTCTCTGCTCATCTTGGGACTAGGATTTAGTAAAGCACTCAATGAATCAAAGAGTAATCAGTGAGCAAAACTCTAAAATATAAAGCATCTGGAAAAAGATATTGACTATTTCCTTTTAGAGCTTAAATATATATGTGGCTAAGCTCATAAATACCATGCTACTATGTGATGGTTTGTGGAAATCAAGAGGATGTTACATATTTTGAATGCCTATGTACCAGCGTTCTGTTAAAAAAAAAGAAGAAAGAAATATTATTACACATCTAACTGAAGTTACTCCTCACAACAATCAGTGAAAAGTCGGTTGTATTATCTTCATTTTAGGTTTAAGAGACCTGAGGCTCATACAGGTAGCAAACTTAGGGTTGGCCATCAACCCAGTTTTATGTGATCCTTTCCCCTATACCTCATTGTTGCAGACTACTATGGCCTAAAGAGCCATCAGGGATTATATATGAGTCCCCTTGTTTTACACACGATGTAACTATGGCCTAGATATGGCCTTGCCAAGATCATAAAGCCTGGTTGAGACCCCAGGTCTCCTGGTTCTAGTATATTTATACTGTTAGCTTTAACTAAAATAAATCCATGACCTCAAACTGCACCACTAACTAATGCCAACCCTAAGACAAGACCGGGAATCAACCCAAATCAACCTCCATTGCTGTATTAAGTCATCAGATTATTAATGCATGTCTCTATTAGGTACATAGTAAGTTCTGGATAAAATGTTTATTGAATGACAAAATGAATGACTAGATCAAGAATACTGCCCCACATGCCCTGAAAATTCTGACTTTATATATTATATAATGTCTTATGGTTATGGGTTCTAATATTGACCTAGCAGTGAAACTCAATGAAACACCAACCTCTTTTTTTTTTAAGATTTCATTCATTCATTCATTCATTTGAGAGAGAGAGAGAGCATGCGAGAGAGGGGAGAGGGGCAGAGGAGAAGCGAGAGGGAGAGAGAATCTGAAGCAGACTCTCTGCTGAGCAAAATCTCAAGATCATGACCTGAGCTGAAACCAAGAGTGGGATGCTCAACCAACTGAGCCACCCAGGGAGACCCGCCCCCCAGCCTCTTTGTAATAGCCACTCATGTTGCTGAATAATGGCAGTGACCTATGACTTTTTTTCCCCTCACTTTTTAGAGCACATGCATATACATGACCTTTTTTGGTCTATTGCCACCCCCACCGCCACCAGCCCCATGCCCAATGTCCCCATTTAATACAGATTTCCAAAAAGTCTATTATTCTTCCATTTTCCATCTCCTAGGCCTCTTAAGACACAAATTTGTTTTGAAAACTTTTTCTCCTTCCTTCCATTAGGGAGAGGCCTTTGAGGTTGAGTCAGATTTAAGTTCATTTTTCAGATCAGGAAACTAATAATAAACAGCCCTTTGAAGTTCATCCAATGAGCTACTAACTACGCCTTAAGATCTTTTTTTAAAAGTATCTTCTTTATATGTAATACATAGTCATTGTGAAATATATTCAATAAGAAATAAAGAACATAGAAAGTGATTCTATCCTCTAGAGAAAAACCCTGTTAGGCATGTGGTGTGTAGGGTCTGTTTTAAGAATCCTTGGTCATGGGCGCCTGGGTGGCTCAGTTGGTTAAGCGACTGCCTTCGGCTCAGGTCATGATCCTGGAGTCCCTGGATCGAGTCCCGCATCGGGCTCCCTGCTTGGCAGGGAGCCTGCTTCTGCCTCTGACCCACCCCCCTCTCATGTTCTCTCTCTCTCTCATTCTCTCTGTCTCAAATAAATAAATAAAATCTTTAAAAAAAAAAAAAAGAATCCTTGGTCATTTTTAGGAATCTTTCTAAACCTAGACGAAACAACAGACTATTCTTACATGATTTCCTAGAATACGACATTTTTAGTTAAGCTTTGTTCGATAAAATCAGCTAATATCAACCACTTATTAAAGGAAAGGAAGTCATTGTTTATGCCATATGGTGAAATAAGTCAGGAGTAACTTGGGGGGCTCCAAGCTAATTGGCTGTTGTCTTAGGACCCCCCTTAGTAAAAGACACCAGCTATTGACTGTCCATTTGCCTGATTAGCCCTCTGGTTCCCTGGTCCTTCTTAGAACAAGGGAACCTGCTGTGCACTCATATACTCTTTTCTATCTGGATCTACTAGAGGAGAGTGCTGAGGTCTCTAATCCTTCAACACCCACCTTAAGTCTTTCTTCAGATGAAAGAAAAGCAGATGCGGTGTCAAATGCTTCATTGAAAGACGACATAGTAACGTGATGAACATTGGCTTTTGAGGGGAGTAACTCCTTCTCCTTGCCCTTTGAACACTGGGCTACCACTGACTTCATGTGTACACTCTTCTTCCTGGAAGAAAAAAAAGCACAACCACATGAATTGTCATTTGCCAGGTAGAAATGCAACCTCCCTTGTCTTTTATAGAGCATTTGCCTGACAGCTGGCAAGTAGCCAACAGTTACCCATTCTGCAGGTCTGGAGAGGACTAGCATGCAGTCTGGGCACATATGTTAAAATTTTATTTTAGAAACAAGTAGAAATGAAACAAAAATCAAATTCTAGCTTTGGCTTAGGGGGCCTTCTTTATTTCAGTTCAACAATACTGCATCCCTTGGTTTTTATCTCTGGTCTTGTGTGAATGACTCATTTACCTTTATCAGTGTAGCTTAAATACCTTGTTGGTTTGTGTTTCGTTGGCTTTTGAAACCCATATTTAGTGCATAGGTATCCTGAATCTTCTCTAATTGGTTAAACACGCTCATCATCATAATCATCATCATCATCTTTGGTGCTGGCTATGTGTTATTTTATATACAGCTCACTAGGGATCGTATCCCACTGGTGTGGTACAGCACCGTGATTGAGAACCACTGCGATATATGTCATAAGTCCATCCAAGACACTTTGATCATGATGGTATTCTGCTAGGAAATTTTTCAGGGACATTCCATTGCCATATAGTAAAGCCAGATGGCTCAGTCAGGCCTTCATCCCTCTGCACATCTGCTCCTGCCCATCTCCCGCCATGCTTCTCCCACCCCTGCATGTACATTCCTATCTGCCCATGCTTCTCCCTGCCCATAGGCAGTTCCCCTCCCCTCTGCTTGTCCAACTGGGCAGGAGTCCCACCTCCTCTACCAGGACTCCTCCGCTATCCTCCTGCACTGAAGCCACATGATGTTCATGGTCAGTGCTGCTCATTGACCAGTCACATACTACCTTACCTGGATGGGCACTTTCCTGTAACTTCTGAGTTAAACCATAAGGTCAATGAGACAGAGACCAAGTCTCAGTGAGACCCCATAACACTCAGAGCAGGTATGTAAAGCATAGAGCTTAGTGCTGGAAAGTTGCTTGACAAGTCTGCCAGTCTATTTGTTGAGCACTTGCCCCATTTCAGGACCCTGTCTTTTTAATAAGAGCAGCACTTACTATGTTTCAAGCACAGTTCTAGGCACTTTACAGATTTAACTCATTCAATCCTCACTATCCTATGTGACCATTACTACTGTCCTCCCCATTCCATGGATGAGGGACATAGAGCACTGTGAAGTGAGCATGAATTCCAACTTCATGTAGCAGAACTCTTTCTACTGTTCTCACATTTTCTCTTCTAATCCCCACAGCAACCCTGCAAGGAAAGGAGGCTCAGAGAGGTTGTCCTTGTCCCGGGTCACATAGCCAATCAAAGCAAAGGGGGCTTGGAGGCTTCAAAACCCATTCTCTTTTCCACTATGCAATTCGGCTTTCCCGAGACCTCTTTACCATTTACTCCAAAGTATTAAATTGTGAGGAAATCTGACACCAGCCCGAAAGTCAGCAGTTTACATAAAAGTCACTATTTGTTGCCTTATCCAGGGCAGTTAATCTCTGTGTGTTTCCTGTTGCTGCTATAACAAATTACCACACATTTAGTGGCTTACGACAATGTGAATTTACTATCTTATAGCTCTGGAGATCAGAAGTCTGAAATCAGTTTTACTTGGCTACAATCAAGGGGTTGGCAGGCCCACGTTCCTTCGGGAGGCTCTAGGGGCGAATCCATTACCTTGCCTCTTCCAGCTTCTAGAGGCTGCTTGCTTCCTTGGCTCACGGCCCCTTCTTCCATCTCCAAAGTGCTTCACTCCAAACTCTGATTCTGTCCTTTCTCTCTGACTCTGCCCTCCTTCTTCCCTCTTACAAGGATCATTATGATGACACTGAGCCCACCTGGATAATCCAGGCAATCTCCCCATCTCAAGATGCTTAATCACATCTGCTAAGTCGCTTTCACCATGTAAAATAACATTTTCACAGGTTCCAGAGATTAGGACACAGATATCACTGCTCAGCCTACTATAGTCTGTACTTAGATTATGGGCTGACTAAGCATTAATCTCTATTGGCACAAGATCCTTGAGATTAAAATCTGCCTTCTACTATCACTCTGCTCACCACTCTCTGTGAGCTTCGTATGCATCAACCTTTATTAATTTTTATTCTAAAAAATAAATTGAAAAGAGACATGAGAGGAAAAGAGATAGATGCTCAAAGGGTTAACTGAAATGAATTAGGGAGGACACTCTGAAGCATCATTTATATTTCTCTGTATTACGCATGTTTTATGATTAGGATTGTGTCCACCCAACTGTACACACATATTGCACACATCTGTGCAGAGACTGAAACAATCACCACGGCCCCTGTTTTCTCCCTTGCTTAAAACTGTGATTATGTGGCCATTTCTGTATAAAATTTTTTTTAAATCAGGGTTACAATACAAAATGTCTGTAGTATAGCTGTATAAAAAGGTATATGCAAGAAGAGTCCCTGCTGGTAATATGAAGAAAAAAGAGGAATTTTAATGACAACTACAAATGCATGAGAATTCATTTTTTTCATTTTTTAGATTAAAACACACACACACAGAAAAGAATGACTTTGGTCTGGATTTGAGGGCTGAAGACTGGCAGAAAGAATCAATTGAGTCATCAGTTTTGTTATATTCCAGTGACTAAAATATAAATCCTCACAATTTAGAAACCATGCTTATTTAACGTGTTGTATCCAGGGAGGGAAAAAAAAAGCCTATTAGGATGTTTTTATCTCATTTTTAGTAGTTGTTTTATAAGAAAATGGGCACTTGATCCTTTAGAACTAACAATAAACGTAAGCAAAACAGAGATTAGAAGTAAAATTTCACATGTGCCGTGTTTTTACTTTTATTTATTTATTAGCAGAACGTTCTTTGTAATAACTGCCCTGGATTTTAGTGGGTGTGCAGTCCCATGCTTCATATAGTAACAGGAATATTAAACCCAGAAGATACACTGTACTTCCAGGCAATGCTAATCCACAAAATGGTTGGGGTAGAAATTTTGTCCTCATTTAATCATTTTGAGCCAGATTCCAGTCCTCATTTTCTTTATTTCTCTGAGCCCTAATTCACTGGCTCAGTTTGACCTCTGTTGTATACCAGCCACTGTCTCTCCAACTGTCTTTTGATCCTCTCAGTCTTGCATACCACCAAGTTACCTCGAATTCCAAAGGCCTAACACCAAGCTCAAAAACACAGCTACCCACCACCTTTGCCAGCAGACCCAGTCTTCCCTCCTGAGCCACACCACCTTCTAGCATATTCTCTAGCCCATTGCCTTGGTTCCAGTCCTCACAATGAACTAAACCATTACAAACAGCCTTTTACTTGGTATCCCTGCGTTGTCTTATTTCTCATCCATTGTGCCCCAACTTGGGATCAGTGGTTATTTACTACATGCCCTCTGTTGAGCCTTTAAAATATTAATGTGTGCTGAGGGCCCCCAAATAGATAGTATGGAGTGTTATTTAGATTCACTGGACCGGGAAACCTTTTCTCTATTAATATCTCACAGGGTAGTACTCACTAGAACCCATCAGCCTTCGTTGAATCATTTTCTACAAACTGGATCATGTTACCCCCTACTTTAAAATCCTTAATGACACCCTATGCATTTGAGATTTTGTCCAGATATGCCCAAGGCCCTTCAGTTTGCCCCTCATCCTGCTTCTTAATCTCATTTTCCGACTGCAACTTCCCCATGAACTCTGTGCTCTCCCTTCTGAGGTCTCCTCAGAGATGCCATGTTCCTTCACATCCTGTGCACACATATTGTGACTCTGCCAGGACTCCTCATCTCCCTGGCCAACCCTCATAGGTCCCCTCCTCCGTAGAGCCGTCCCTGATTTTCCATAAAGACTTAGTTGCCTCTCCTCTGTATTCCTTCTTTAGTAAAGCTGATCACATTTGATAATAATTTTAACCCCTCACTGGACTGCAATTACGTGAGGATTAGTAACCAGTTTATAGTCATCTTAAACCCCCAGCACCTAATAGGGCGCCTGGCACTCAGCAAGTACTCACTAAGTGTTTGATGAAAGAATGAATGAGTGAATGAAGAAAGGAATATAATGAGTTAGAAACTGCAAGCAGAGCATCTTATGTTGAAACTAGAAAGTTGACTTTAGAAAGTACATAAATGTCACTTTGTATTGGGCTCACTAATGTGACTTGAGGGACCAAAGATATGAACTCAGCCCTCAGTAAATGAAGCTACCAAGATGAAACCAAAGGGGTCAATACAGGCGAATTTATTAGTATGCTGATCATGGGAAAATCTTCAAAAATACAAGACACTTAGGCCACTGTATTTTGTATAGAAACATAACTTTTAGGGGCACCTGGGTGGCTCAGTCGGTTAAGCATCCAACTCATGGTTCAGCTCAGGTCATGATCTCAGGGTCATGAGATCAAGCCCCGAGTGGGGCCCCACACTCAGCATGGAATCTGCTTGGGATTCCCTCTCTCTCTGCCCCTCCCCCCTCAAGATAAATGAATCATAAAAAAAGAAACATAACTTTTAAGTGCTCCCCTTATTGTATATGTTTTACTTTCTTATAAAACTAATGAATCTATACCTTATATCGTGAAACATGTATGACAGCGAAGATAAGCAACATAAATAATATTTTTTGTGATTTATTCTATTTATGGCCCATATTTAAAAATAATACCCCTTACTAGAGATCTGCCTCTTCATACCACAATATCATTTTAAATGGCTCATAAAGGCAAACGTTTTTCATTTAGTTTTATTAAATTTCTCTTGCTGTTCTCTTTTTAAAATTTTCTTCTTTGCATGCTGCTTCTCACTTCAGAACTATCAGCCTCGTCAGGTAATCTCAACATGTTCACAGAGTTGTCACAGACTTTGGAAGCTTTATTAATTTGAAATTTTATCTATGGTTTTTAAAAATTTCTAAAAACACCGTTTCAGCAATGTAAACACACCAAGGGAACTTTCTGAGCAAAGCTGAGACAAGTGTTGAAGAGC